AATTTTTGGTAATGTAAACCAAACCTTTTTTATGCTTTTTAACTGAATTGAATTGTTTTTGAACTGAACCAAACCATTCCCTTGAACCAGAATTCGTTAAAAAATGGGTTTTCAATTTCATATTCTTTAGACCTCATATTTTGAAGAAGTGATGACACGTGTTTAAAACTGATATATAAATCATAATAAAACTTAAATACTACTAATTAATTTAGATAACTTTTATAATTATATATAATATATATGAACAGCAGAATACTTGTGATTTATCTTTTTTGAATAATGATTTATTAATTAAACTAGCGATTTATTAACCTAACCTAATCGATATTCAAACTAAATTCAGTAATGATGCTCTGTCATAAAATGTGAACACTTTGTTACATTTTATATAATAGAAAAAAAAAATTAAGTGCTTTGATAATAAAACCATTTTTCTATAATTTGTTTTTAAATGTGAATCACATCAATGTATGTAATCACTATCTCCTATTTTAAATATATTTTTCATCTAATAACCCGTGTGTTCATAGCAAGTAATCCCTCGCTTCAATTTTGGATCCTGGACTTTGGTGGTTCCAATCACATGGCTGGTAATCCTTCACTTAGAGGAAGGATCCACTTGCTCTAAGACTAAGTCTTTATAGACTTACCTCACTCAATAACTCGTTTTATATGAAAGTTTAATGATTCAACCGTTGGATTAAAAGTTCTTAATGTATAGATCAAGTCTACAAATTTTAAAAGAATTTGAAAATCATATGATATTTCATTCTATAAATTCAAATCGATGTATAAAACATTTTCACAATTATTTGTCAATTTGAATAAATGAAACAAAATATCAAATAGTTTTAAAATTTTTTAAAAATTTGCAAACTTAATCTATGTATTGAGAAATTTTAATTTAACAGTTGAATCGTTTAAATTTGATGTAGAACAAGAGTTATTGAGCAGAATAAGTCTACCAAACCTTACTTTTGGAATAAGTAGATCCCTCCTTAATTTAATTATATTTTTCATCTAATAACTCGTGTGTTCAAAGTTGGTAATCCCTCACTTCAATTTTGGATCCTGGACTTTGGTACTTCCAATCACATGGTTGGTAATCCTTCACTTGTCTTCAATTTGTTAAAACTAAATCCTCCCACCACATCACCCTAGCTGATAGATCTAAAACCCCTGTCACAGCTCTTGGTCAGGCCACCCAAACCCCCTCATTATTCTTAAAAATTGTTCTTTTTTTTCATCCGAGTCTCCCTTTAACCTTGTCTTGATTAGCCAATTCACCTACACGATTAATAGTTCTATTATCTTTTGTTTTGAATCTTTTTGTATACAGAATCAGAGTATGGGATTGATTATTGGCTCAAGATATGAAGCACATGGTCTCTACTACTTCCACTCGCCAACATCAGTTGCATGCACCACTACCGAGTCTCCATATCTACTTCATCGTTGTTTAGGTCATCCCAATTTGAATAAACTCAAGGCAATGATTCCCAATTGAACTCCTTATGTGAATCTTGTCGGCTCGGTATGTTTGGGCTACCTTCTCAGGCAATGCTCCTCATCACACAAATTCTACTTTAGCTCTTATCTACTCAAATGTATGGGCCCCAACAATGTCACTTATGTCTTAGGTTATAGATATTATGTCCCTTCATTGATAATTTTTCTAGGAATACTTGAATTTCCTTAATGAAAGATGTTCAGCACTTTTCTCCATATTTAAAAAAAATTTGCCTAGAAATTCACATTCAATTTGGACATAAAATTTGTACTTTATCTTGTGACAATGCAAAAGAATATTTTTTTGAATCATTTCGCAATTTATGACAAATTCTCTTTTCCTCACACACTACCAAAAAATAGTGTTTCTAAAAGCAAGCATCAACATATTATTGACACTCCATGTACCCTCTTAATTCACTTAAATGCCCCTTTAAAGCATTTTGAGGTGTTGTTCTTACAATTGGTTATCCTATTACTAGAATGCCCCCTTCTTCTATTGGTAACACTTTTCCTCACTTTATTTTATTTCCCAATGAGGCTTTGTTTCATGTTCCTCGTGTTTATGGCACTACTTTTGTTCATGATCTCATCTAAAGTCTGGATAAGTTGAAGGCTCACGCTCCCAAGTGCATCTTCCTTGGTTATTCATGAATCCATAAAGATTATTGATTTTACTCTCTTGCTAACCACCACTTTTACATGTTTGTTGATTTCACCTTCTTCGAAGATACTCCCTTTTTCGCCCCATCCATCTCTTTTGAATTTGTCTACTAGGTATTACCTATTCATTTTGTCATGCCTCACTCAACACATTCCTCCCCTCTCCTTGCCCCACCTGTTCTTGTCAACATCATCCTAGACCTCCACCTGTGAAACCACCTCCCATAAAAGAGACTAGTGCTCCATATCCTGCTCCAATCACTCATCCTACTATGGATGACTCCCACTTGCCCATCACCATTTGTAAAGGTACCGTTTCACTCAATCCTCACCCCATATTAAGTTATCATTGTCTCTCTCTTTCCCACTTGCCTTAGTGTCTACCTTTTCCTCTATATCTATTCCCAAAATTGTCCAAAAAGCACTTTCATATCCAGGTTGGTGATAGGCAATTATTGATGAGATGCAAGCTCTAGAATCTAACCAGACATGTGCTCTTGTTCCTCCACCTCCTAACAAATCTCTTGTTGGCTATCACTGGACCTTTACTATCAAAGTTAAACCTGATGGACATTTCGATCACTTGAAAGCACAACTTGACACCTTTTCTACTATCACCAAGATAGCCTTTATCCGTCTCCTCCTGTCCATGGCAGCAATGCGCCACTGGCCTCGTTATCAGTTGGACGTCAAAAATGTATTTTTACATGGTGATTTAGTTGAGTGAGTCTATATGGAGAAACCTCCATGGTTTGTTGCTCAGGGGAAGTATAGTTGTTTTGTTTGCAAGTTATGCAAAGTCTTACATGGCATAAAACAGAGTCCAAGAGCATGGTTTGGAAGATTTAGTTATGTTCTTCACAATTTTGGCATGTCATGTAGTGAATTCGATCACTTAGTTATTTTACAAACTTTCCTCCACTAACCAATGCATTTATGATTTATCTGGTGGTGTATGTAAATGATATTGTTGTTACAAGAGATGGTCACAAGGGTATCAAGGACCTTAAAAGTCATTTGTTTCAGCACTTTCAATGGGGCAAAGATAAAGGCCATGGGATGGAACTGCAGTAGGGCCTACTAATATGGTTGTAATAGAAAGGCCATATATACTTAGCCCTTATTATGGAACTTGAAATTTGAGTTTGGCCAAAAACTGATGAGTTTAAACTCAGCTGGTATCTTATATATATATAAAAGACCAAAATAGGTACATACATCAGAAAAAGTGTCAGCCTGTGGACCTAAAAACCCTTCAGCCAGATAGGGTCAAAAAAACAGCTTTATAAAAGCTGTACAACATATAAATAAAAAAAACAATTGTTTTAACAATGGAGAGAGTCTACTCTAGGGAAAAGTGATGAATACGTGAGTGAGTGGGTGAAGGGTGAGCTGCAGTTAGTTAATGTTAGTGGGAGAAAGAATAAAAAGGAAGGACTAAAGGACATTAGGTTTGTTACCTTAGTAGTGTGTATAGAAACTTCTCTTAGGAGCCTTAGGCTTTGGTTTATGGTTTCCCCTTTTTCTATAAATGAAACTTCATTTTTCCACTTAAGTTCTCTAGTGTTTGTTTATGATCATTGTGTTTATCATTCTTGTTTGGGAATCCTAGCACAATCAAAATGAGATGTTTACAATAAACTCATCTTTGAGTTATAGAGAATATGGAACTATAGGTAGGGAATTAAGCAGTTCAATATTGTATTCCTGTTGAGCCCAAATATGAAGATGAGGAGTGGAATCTTGATCAGCAAGATGACGTGCAGAACAATGAAAAAATTTCTCATAGACAATAACTGAATATTTCTAACATTCGACTATGTAACCAATACTTTAATTTGTTGTTTGTATTCATATCTAATGCGTATCCGACACATATTTTGGATGATTAACTAATACATCTCAATGAAGTATCCAATCTTTTAACAAAATTAAGAAAATCCAATAATGCTACATGAGACACAAAAACATGTATATATAGATGACAATAATTTATAGTAATATTTCTTAAGTTTGAGCTTAGAGCCTAATTCAGCATCACAAAATCAACTTAAAGGTGAGGATTCCCAAGCCTTATAAGCACTACTAAAGTCATAACCTTAGTGTATGTGGGATCTCAACCGCCCAACTCACATCTTGGTGACTACACTCAACATTTCTGGTAAGCCCCTTCGTAGGTAGCCCTTTTCAGCTTAGGGGTGACTGCAATTAATGCAACATTCTATCACTTACTATTTCTGGATGATTTAAAAAAAAAAAAAAACTTGGATTTGAGGATTTTTATTGATTTTTTGATGTTGTATGCTATATATTTTTAAAATAATAGTATCACCGTATTTTAGAGGAAAGTATCATATTTAAGCATCATAGTCTTAGAAATATGGGTATTCAGACCAGTTGCACAGCCAATATCAACTGACAACGGATATGAATGAGCTATACAGCCCAGTATCTATGTTGAAGCTATTTGTTGTTCAGATGCAGACAAGTGGAATAGCACTATTGGTTACAGATAGAGTCTCTTCATAGGAATCAGACAAGGGAAGTTACTGCTTGCCTCGGTTTCTCTTTATGATCTAGATCTTGAGTATATAGACGTGAAGATTACATTCTTACTTATTGAAATACAGCAGCAGATTTGCTGAGTTAGGTAGAGAGATTCACACTCTAGGTATTGCAATCACATTTGTTTGCATAAGTTGTATGATTTGAACAAGTTTTCTAGGAAGCAGTATAAATGGTTTTATACATTTATGATTGGTAATTGATCGACCAAATAGCACTCGTGATGGTAATTTGTACCACTAGAAGTTTTAATAGCATACCGATAAGTCCTTTGAAAATTTCTCAGCAACTACTGCAGTTTCAGTACCATTAATCTTAATATCATATCCAGATCTTGTTAAGAATAGAGTTGCTTGTTCCCAATTTTCGGAAGAATCCATCTGTCAGAAATAAATATGAAAATGTAAGGATGCATATTAAGATGCATGGGGAACATGGTATATTCTGTATCCTTAAGAAATGATATTTAACCAAAGTGAGAAGAGGTCAAGATTCTCAGAACTTAATTTTAACCCACTATCAATATTGAAATGATGTAATGTTAACAAAACACATGTAATATCAAACCTATTTACATAATATAGTTTCAAGTTTAATTCAAAGGAATTCCTTGGGCTAACTTACAACAAAATATTCTACCTATTCAATATTTGAAATTTTGCATTATGTCAGAAATGAATTCAGCAGGTTCATGAGATATTGTAATGCTCCAAGGACTCTTCCTAATGTACATCATGAACAAGATAGATTGTGCATAAATAATGAAAAATATCTGACCATAAAGGGATTTTCCAAAATCATGCAGGACCTACCAAAAGTAGAACACTGAATGTTGCATCTCCTTTAGACAGATTTGTGTCAATCTCATGCTGCATTTCTGAATCTATAAAGTCGGCCAGCAGAAGACTATGATTAGAAAACAATCAAAACATTGAAGGAGGAAATGTTAAAATAATACAACGGACAAATATTATACTACACTTGCATGAATATAAAGCAAATTTATTAATAAGAGTTGGTGGCTCATAGCAGTAAGCCAAACATCCTCCATATAAACATGGCAGATTGAATGGAGGTTTGTGTGCACCTATATATAACATCAACACCGGTGTGAATTATACCAACTCTTTCACAATAACTTTAAATAAAATTTGATTTTCATTGATCCAATTATTGAATTATAATTATATATTACCTAGAAGATTTGTGTCAAATCTTGTAAAAAATAGAGAATAATAAGATAATAAAATAATTGAAGGGCCAATATACAAAAGGCTAGTAGGGTGTAGTCAGATATATGCCTTGAAATATTGATCTAATGGTACACTAGTTCAGTATAAAGCCAAGATGAGGATGAAGGGATACACACAAACATACACTAGGATTTTATCCTTCAAGAATTCAATTAACTCTCAAATTAACTGCTCTAGTTCTAAGCATAAAAAGCTATACCCAAGTGAACCATTTTTTTTTTTTTAAATTCAACAATCATTATTTTGAAGCAGTAATCTAATTTAGACCATCAAAATATTACTCTGCATCAAATAGAAGAAAAAAGTGCCACATTAGAGTTATATCTTCTCGATTCAGCAGCAAATAAACTTACCACACTTAATTTTATTCTGATCATTAGCAAAAAGCTTCACCAGTTCCCCCTAACAATGAACAAATTTGACAAAAAGAAATCAGGAATAACATTCTCCTGACCAGAAGATATAATTTTCTATAATATATTTGAATAAAAAAGAGTAAATTCAAATATATCAAATCTTGAATGAGCCATAATTAAATTCAGATAGTAGACAATTAGATTTATCCACAAAAAGGTGGAAGGAAGATGTCAAGGACACACCGGTTATTGGAGTATAGTTTTACTCGTTACTTATATATGTAGAATAGCAATGTAGATTATTTTTTATCTCCTTTACTGTCACATTTATTGCTTTTATTATAGACCAACATAGGTTGGCTCTATATAAACCTATCTTGTATTCTTTGTGCAGTTAGTGAAAATATATTTCTGCTTATTGAAACATTCTCTCATCTTCTCTCTCTCGCTCTCTCTCTCTCTCTCTCTCTCTCTCTCTCACACACACACAATTCTATTACCTGTAAACTAAAAAATTTATACCTGCGGAAGAATTTCATTTTACTCCGTTAATCTTATTCAATTTAGGTCATGTACAGTCACAGAAGTATCTAAAGCCCTCATTATATATTGAAATTATCTTCACAACATTTAAGATTTTATTTTATAGCATGTCAAATATGTCATTAGAAGAAACAAAGATTTTGTAAAGCAATAACATCAATTGGACCAGACAAATGTTTAAGCATACACTTGCCACTGTCACTGCAAAATTACTCTAGATATGAACACTTCTTCTAGAATTATCTGTTCCTTATCATAATCCTATGATATTTTGTGACAATCAAAGTGCTGTGCACCTTGCCCACGACCCAATTCTTCATGTTTGCACTAAGTGACTAAGCATATGGAATCAGACCTTTTTTTTATTTGTGAAAAGGTCCTTTGCAAGCAACTTCAAGTTTTGCATATTCTAGGCTTAGACCAGCATGCTGATTTTCTGACAAAGCTACTGCCTCCTACTTGATTTGCTACTCTGCAGTCCAAGCTCAACGTGTTTGAAATTTCCTCGAAATCTCACCAACCTTGAGCTTTGTTTTTTTTTTTTTTGGGGGGGGGGGGGGGGAGGGGGTATGAGAACCTTTTCTCTGTAAACTTGTATTTCTATTATTCAATTTTGCTTAAATAAGTGTACCATCTATAAGGATGTGTTTGGCCAAGCTTAATTTTAACTTAAAAGTTACTTTAAAGTTAAAGTTAAAAATAAGAGCTTAATGAAGTAAAAGTTGTTTGTCAACTTTCCTTTTTCTTAGCTTAAAAGTTCCTTTTAAACTAAAAGTTGTTTGGTAAATATGTTTAAAAGATTTAGTTTTATTTCAAATTAATTTTCTTAAAAATAAAAATACTATGCAAAATTAATTTAATTTACATAAAAAATAAATAAATAAAATATGTATGCCTTTGTACAATATATTTGTGCAACTGTGCAAGTAAATATTTACTATATATGTGGTTTGTTGAAAGTTAAGGGAGCAGTAATAAAATACCCCACAAATATAGTTCAAAGAAAAAAAGAAAAATATAAACGTAAGAAAATAACTGTTAGGATTTCATCAAAAAAATAAACAAACAACACAAGATCCATTGTTTCAATTCCATTGATATTCGAAAGTGATGATGAAAAGAAAAAACCAGCACAGTAAAGGAAACTGAAAATATAAAATAATAAAAGCTGTAAAACAAATAATGCCATGCGAAGGTGTAAAGACAGGTCCTGTGCCAAAAAGCTCCATGTAAGCCACATTTATTTAATTTACTTTCATGAGCTTGTCTAAAACTCATTTATTTTATTATTTTGTTTTTTAAAATTAAGCTACTTAAAACTTTAAGAACTTATAAATAGTGTTTGGCCTAGCATCTACTTATAGGTAAAAGAAAATCCAAAAATAAGCTGGGCCAAACAGACTCTTAACAGCTGTCAGTTAGTTACTGACAGTTACAACTATCACATCATTCTGACTCAGCCCCTGTATCGATATATATTGCAAGCAGGGCTGAACCATGTGTGTATTACATTTTTCAGATTCAATAATAGCAGATTTAGATTGCTATAGAAGTTTTCTCTCTTCTAATAAATACAGGTAGTTTCCTTTACGAAACAGAAGATAAAAGTTACTTCAAAGTTCAAACATAATTATAGAAAAGTCTTACCTGAAGAGAATATAGTTATATACTAATTTAAAATAATAAAACTAAGTGCATTTATAGCATACATAGATATGGCCAAGGGTATATCACATAATGTACACAACATATATCATAGACCATACATTTATAACTAATTTATTTCAAACCTGATGGCCTTTATCGTCCATTGGAATACATTCAACCGCTATCAATTTATCAACATCATCAGCTGTAACTACATACTCTGGATTTGTGGCTCCTGAACAAAATGGAAAATAATAATACATAGAAAGCAAATATCATGTTGAACTTCCATCAGACCACTCCACTCAGCAAACAAGCATAAAATAAAAAATGAGAAGTTTAAGTCCAGTCTACCTTCAATGTAGTGTCTAGTGCCATCCTCAAGATGCCGAACCCACTGATTTGAAGCCAAGAATAATGGTGAGATCAGTAATAATAGAGGAGAAAATTATGGATGACATGCTAAGTTAAATATTAATGGAAAGAATATTCACCTGAAACATACAAAGAGATGTTCCACGAACTGGATATCCACATCCAAGAAGCTTTTCTCCAGGAATAGCATCACCAGAAATTTGAAAATTCTCAATTCCAGGGCCATCTAGAAAAATGTCACTCATGAGTATAAAAGGATATAGTTATACTATCTATTCTATCTATTATAACGAAAAATATGAGTTACCCTCAGCAATAAGGAAAGCAGTTTCATCCAGCTCAGGTGGGGATTGATAGAAGTTTCCATTGACAAAATTTCTTTCCATGGTTTTGTCCTGTACTCCAATTTTATCAATTGAACCATGTGGGAAAGAAGATACCTCCCTGCAAAAATTGTTTTATAACAGATTTGCGTTTTTGGTAAACATTTCAGCAATTCTTAAAAGATATAAATGGGGAGCATATCAATTGAGAGGATGAACATTGAGACAAAGAATACTAAATCCTAACAATAAGATCATACATGTACAGGAGATATTTTGTCTCCCCTGAATAAGATATTTTGAGAGTCAATTTTCTCCTATTTGGCCTGATCAACTTAAGCAATAGATTAAGCAGTAATAGTGAGGCAGTCTCAGAACCCGAAACCACTTAAGTGATAAGGTGATATTAGAAGCCCATGTAGAGTACATCTCTATAGAAAGGGAAAATTTGGAGCAGATTGAAACTTTTGATTTAGGGGATCTGAAGTACCAATGGCAACCATGGTCAGCAAAAAAGATGAGACAGACGTGTGAAAAATAGTACCAGAATCGCAGTGAGGACTAGAGGGTCCGCAAAACAAATTCAAATGGAGGTGGGGTTCTCAGTGCAGGGTCGAACAGTCAGAGAGAGGGTCGGACATGTCTTCACGCAAAGGAAGAACGGTCAAATAAAGAGTCAGACAGTCAGAGAGAGGGTCAACTGCATCATCACGCACTAGAAATAGACACGCATTGGTGTGTTTGGCATGTCTGAAAGAGACACACATGATGGCACGAGAAGGGGTCTTTGGGCACACCATTGATGTCACCATGTAGATAGGCAGACAACCATGATGCTGACAGTGGTGGTGGCTGATAGAAAGGTCACCATAGTTGCGAGGTAGAAAACAATGGCTGGAAGAGTTGCCAAGAAAACACATATATCCACTTATCTTGTGTTTCAAAAGAAAAGAGATATACAAGATGTTAAACCGTGTGTTCGAAAGACACCACATAGCAATGTTTATATACACTTATCTCATTTAATATACATGAATAGGAGATATTTTGTTTCCCCTAAATAAGATATATGTGCCTATATACCACTATAAATAACTATTAATGGTTACATTATGATTCTCAACACAGAAAGGAAGCAAATATTTCCCATCATATTGGGTTCAACTGCCTGTAGAAATTTCTTGACCCTTTTATAATGTCTCTTTTCAAACTGCACATGGAATTAACTAGACTATGAGATGGCCTTGTGTTTGCAGACTGTGTAACTATTGCTCAAGATGTCATGCTACGTGTGGTTCCTAACTAATGATGTATGACATATATTCACTTGTAAAAAACAGAAGTGGGTAAACAATACCAACCTATCAGCCTTAGAAATCTGCTGATAGTTGACCGGCCTTTTGAATGCCCAGTTGACATCAGCATTAAGAGCTGGGTGCACATATCCTGCCATATTGTTCATTGGCTGATGATTTTGTTCATTCCCAATAAGATTTTGCTGGGGGAAGTTATGCTGAAACTGAAATATATAGTCAAATTGCATTAATGAGGACGAAAGAGAATCTATGATGTAAACACAAAATATGAGCACATAGCATGAAAGAAGATTACATGCCAATAGTACCATGAAATCATTATGAATGTGACTTGTCAAATTTCCAGAACCTGGGCTTTCAACAACATGATTACCATTATCAGCACGGCTTTCTAGCACAGAAGTTAACTCTCCAATTCTATCCTGTCCAAAAAAGTAATCACTGATCTTTTAAATAATCAATCAAACATCAACTGTAAAAATGATTAATCAAACAGAGACTGCACATAAAACAAGGCATAAACCAACAAGAGCTAAAATAATAGCTCAATAATGCAAATGAAAGAAAGTGCACCAAGAAATCATTAATAATCATTCACCAATATAAAATGGCATTGGGAACAAATGTAAAAACGTATAACTTAATGGAAACTAAATGAGAATGCAGTAACAACCTATAACAACAATCAATATGTAAAGAAACCTCTAGAGATGAAGACTGCCTAAAATTTATGAAGCAAAGAACATGTAATCAATAATGAAAACAATGTTTGAGGTATATAGCATCAGTTTGCTTACTATGAACATGTAATATTATAATTTTCAGTTAGATGTTTAATACCACTTGTTTCACACATATTAGGCAAAGATGGCGATGCAAATTATAATGCTTAAAGGCGCAAGTGACTCATCAAAAGTGTAAAAACTTACATGTGAACTCCGAATCCTCCATTGTAACTGATCATGTAAGTGCTGGACAAGGACCAATACAAAATTTTAGAATATCTACAAAATATTTAGAGGAAGAGAATGAAGTCTAATATATTAGGATAATTTATCTTATTTTAGGCATAATATTGTTTCCTTATTTTAAGGAATTTTATCATATCTCTATCATTATTTGCTCCTTTATATAGGTATAAAGCAGTCAATAGTAGATAACAGCATGGAGTGGCTGCTCCCAAAAATGCTACAGTGGGGTAGTGGATTGGCCACTAATCTGAATTAGGAGACTAAATTGTGTTTTTACTGTACTTATTTTCTAGCTGTGTTTTACTTTCTGAGCCTTGGACCCCTATTAGTTGTTTGGCCTGTTTTGTTCAGTCAACTATAAATAGCTGACTTCTTCATTGTAAGGATGAAGTTCAGTTGTAAATAATTCTGCTAGATTTCAGTTAGATGCAGTTATGAAATTCTCTCTTTCTCTGAATTTCAACACCAATGGGTCCATTGAGTAGGCACAGAATAGGGTTACATCTAATAATGCTTTAGAAGCCAAAAAAAACAAGACATATGGTGAAATCCATGTGCTTAAACTACGAAGTGTAGCTGAGTTATATAGACCAAAAATAATAATTCACATATTATACTTATCCTAATAACCATAATTATATGATTTTGTTTAGCTAATACTATGTATCTAGACATTTAAGTGTTCTACAACACCCTTGTTACATCCATCCACCATATAGTAGAGGAGAAAAGTTGCTGTTAATGATCCCAAAAATGATTCCAGAAAAGGCTGTGTAAGGTTCAGGGTTTCTCAATTGTCGGGCTAAAATTGTTATTTTATTCATTAGTTAGACACTGTCAGACAATTTATCAATGATCAAGTAAAGGGACACATTATCCCACTAAAAAAAGGAGACAGGAGATGAATGTAATATCCCCAAACAAATAAGAAATAAGGTTCTCATCGGGAGACAAATCCACCTATTACAAAATCAAATATTTCACCAGCATATCTAATATCTATCTATCTATTTATATCTATATCTATATCTATATATATGCTAAGGACATGTGCCACTCTTGTAGTTTTATTTTCCTGTTTTTCCAACACTTTTTTTTTCCTTTTTTACTGAAAACTTTCACTGTAAGTTGTTTCTGTGCCCATACTTCTTCTGTTTTTCACTGGACATTTTACAATATATGTCTCATTCACTGTCAACAAATACCAATCTTGCTGGCTGTTGCATCTTATCTCTACTCCCATACTTTTTTTTTACCTTCAATTTTATCATTCTAAATACCAAAATTACTATTATTATAAGTAAAACTTAAACTTAAAAGTTGCAACCAACAAAATTTAAATAAAACAAAACACTTAAGATTAAGACTTTAACAAAACAAAATTATAAAGATTAAAAAATAAAATTTTAAAATATATAAATGAGGGATTTAATTATATGAAAGAAAAAACCATACTGTCATCTAATTATAATTAGATGACAGTATGATTAAAAATTCTTGATTTTTGTAATAATTATTTTAAAATTATATTTAAGCTGGTGATTACAAATTACCAGTACTTTCACTGACAGTATGTCAAAATTAAAATCAAAATCAATTATAATAAAAATTTACTTTTACTATAATTAATAGTACTTTTCTTAAAAATACATTTTATATATGTCACAATCTTCATCTTCATTTTTTACATTTCAGATTTTTTTATTTGAATAATTTTTAATTAGTATTTATTTTATATTTTTATTTTGTATTTTATCTAAAAGACAAGTATTTTAGAATTTTTAAAATAAGTTTCCTACATTTTTACGACAAATAAATATTAATAAAAAACACAAACGCTTAATTTATTTTTATGAAAAACATTGTTTTAATATATAAATAAATAACTATCATAAATTATATGGATAAATTTATTAACTTATTATAATATTCACATATCTTTTTAAAAAGAGTATAACGACAGATGCAACCTATACAAATTCTAGTTAAACTATGAAGCAAACAGCTCTGCACTACACCAAATATGTATGAACAATCCATGGTTCAATGCTTTGGTCTCTAAGGATCATACCAAAAATTCCTGACATTCAAGGGTCACTTATTTATATTTTTATTTTGTTGTTGACTCAAACAAAAATTGGCATTCAAGGGTCACTTCACATTCATGTAACGGTGACCTGACATGAGTACAGGACATGCCAAAAATCAATGCATTATGATGTTTAACCTATCATATCCGTGACCACATATTTCATACCTTTACACAGCTGGATATTGAAGAGGCATTCATAACACGAGGCCAAAGACCATATTCAGCAAGCAACCCCAGCATAGATGACATGAAGATATATCTTTCATCATCTACAGCCTAGATTAATGATGTAAGTCAGTAACATTAACCAGAAGTACATTATATAAATATATATATATATATAAATATCATAAAGTATTGATAGATTGCAAAGCATGCATTTAACTAGTGCTTCATTTGGTATAAATAAGGAAACAGTCTTTATTAATATAAGCTTTTAATTATATATTTTGAGAAAATATCCTTTCTAATGAATTCATTATTTCCTTTGTATTTTAGATTAGATCTTTAATAGCAGATTTGGCTCAATTAAATGAAGACTCAATGGAAGATTTGAAGAAAGTTTTAATGAATAAATCCATGTTGTTTCTGACCTTGCTTTAATAAAAGGGCAATTGACCTACAAATGTGTGAACAAGGCCGACTACCTGTAGTTAGATGTCCAATTATGCTTAAATGAAGATGGCCCAATTGTCAATAGAAGACCCATTAAACATCTATCTGGCCTTGGATTATTCACAGAAACTAAAGATCCAGAGACAAAAAGGATCTGTAGGGAAACTTAATTGTAAAGATAAGACAAATAGTACTTGGAGCCATCAAAGATAGAATTCATTATAGGAGAACTAGATCAAAAAGGAAGAGCCACCACCACTGAACCATCTTGGAGATGCAAGAAAGCAAGCTCCTCTACATTGATCAAAACTTTGGAGGAGTCAAAGATAAAGGATTCAAGACATGAGAACAAAACATTATATCTTCCAATCCTTGACTCCCTTTTTTACTATGCTGGACATTTTTTATCATTGGCAGAAGGAGAAATTTTATTTTGAGTTGTTCTCTTCTAACTAGTCTCTATTCATGGTATCCCACCTTCAAATAGTATAATAATTTGCTTTCCAATTACTTTATTTTCCTTCGCACAATGGTAACTTCAAGTTCAAGCACCAGCCAGTCAGACAATCTACTGTCCAATCTAAGGAAACTGGTGACCAATCTGGCAGTTGTATTTTAATGTCATCCTGCCTCTTAAGCTCGATCATAATGCTCAATGCCCAAAACTTCCCAAGATATTTTCCATGCTGAAAATGGATATTATTTCATTAGAGAAAAATTTTGGGGAAAAGCAAATGGTAATGAATGAAAAGATGTTGATTATTGACATCCCCATTCTATTTCTAGTTTTCTATAAATTAAACTTCAACACAAGATTGATGGATTATCCATTGTCCATCATTTAGGTCAATGGGCTTTCACTTATGTGGGTAAGTGTTAGGTCTGAACATAATATGGATCCAATTGATACTATGGGCCCAATTGGTACTCTTACAGTTAACAGGGGGTCTAAAATATGGAAAGTATATTCTCTAAAGGGTTAAAAAGAGATTGTGCAAGGTAGTGGGGCAGAGTTAGTGATGAAGGAAAAGGGAGTATAGGAGGTTAGCATCATGAAGGAGGGATATTGGCTATTCTGTTTTTCTCACTTTTGGCTTAGCTGGGCAGGGGTATTAGTCACCTCTGAAGGAGCTTTACTCTGGGGATTATAGGAGGATACTAATGTAATCAATCATACTCAGTAAATAATACACCATTTCATAGCGATTTGTCTTTTGGTTCCTAACATTGGTCCGACCTGCCAGATAATGACATCGGAGAGTGTGTGCCCAAACCATGAGGAGTTGGAAACACAGCCATGGAAGCTCATGTAACCTATCTTGAAGCTGTGGTGAAGGAGTTAACAGAGGATCAGACAGGAAAGCAAGTGGATATGCAAAAGAATTTTGATTGTATGATTTAAGACATGCAGCAAATGGTGGCGACTGTCCCAAGGTGTCTCATTGTTGATGCAACATTTGAGTGGATCTTCGAAAAATAGAACAGCCGATACCCCTCCTTGATGATGCTAACCTCCTATATTCCCTTTCCCTCCACAACTAACTCTGCCCACTACCTTGCACAATCTCTCTTTTACCCTTTCTAGAATATACTTTCCATATTTTAGACACCCTATTAAGAGTATCAATTGGGCCCATGGTATCAACTGGACCCATAGTATCTCCAAACCTAACATTGCCTAGTATCAATTTTACCCATACCAAATTGTTGCAAGTGTGGCTTCAGTAGCTTATAAACTTGAACTTACTCCCTCGTCTCGAATCTACCCTATCTTTCATGTCTCTTAGTTTAAGAAAATTGTTGGTCAATATCAAACAGTGACAGAGTTGCCAAGTGGATTAGAAGATGAGTTTGTTGCAGTAGTCCAACCAGCAAAAATTATATCCGAGTGTTGGTTGGAGATGTGCTGAAGACACAATTGCTGATCCAGTGGAAGGACAAATCCAGTGATGAAGCTACATTGGAAGATGTTTTTACCATTCATAACCAATTTCCTCATATTCACATTGAGGACAAGGTGAAGTTCCAAGGGGAGGCAATGTTTGGTGGGTCCAATTGATACACTTAACAGGGGTTCTAAAATGTGGAAAGTATATTCTAAAAAAGGTATAAGAGAGATTGAACAAGGTAGTGGGAAGAGTTAGTTATGGAGGAAAAGGGAAAACAGGAGGTTAGCATCATGAGGGAGGGATATTGGTTATTCTGTTTTTCTCACTTTCGGCTATAGCTGGGCAAGAGTATTAGTCACCTCTGAAGGAGCTTTGCTCTGGGGATTCCATACCAATTTTTCTTTTGGTTCCTAACAGTGTGTTAACATATAAATATAATAATTATTCCTAATCCTAAGCCAATACCAATGGGTGCAAATTTTTGGATTCTTCATAACTGAAACAAATTGGAAACTTCCAAGTTAAGCAATGATTATATTGTGTCCTCTATGAAACGAACATTCCAACAATTCCAATAACACAAGAAAGTCAGCAACCCATGTCAAAAAAACCCCAGTAGAGACACCAGTTAACTACAATTGTCTAGGTGATTCCAACATTCCATCAATGGCCCAATAAAAAAATAGCCATAAAAGTAGCAAAACAATAAAATACCAAAAGAAGAGGCTGAATAAAATACTGATATCATCATGAAACTAGACTTACTTTCAAATCATGGGCAAGTTTTAAATTTTCTTCAAGATAACCTTTTCTTCGAGCCAAATCATTAGACGCGGACGAGATAGCTTCATTTTGCTTCTCGTCAACTGCCTGATAAAAAAAATGCATTTAAAGTTTAAAATTAAAGTAATCTATGTAAAATTCTGAAAAACAACTACAACTTAGAAAGAAGTGACTAACCATTCTTAGTTCAGAGAATTGCCTCTCCAGTTTGCATTTCTCATTCAACAACTGCAGTTCCTGCTGCCAACGAATTTAGTTAATTTCCTCAAAAGCCAAAGATGTAGATATAACTTTCATACATGTATATATTTTGTACCTTCATACAGGCAACAGCAATCTGTTCACGGAGGGAGAGGATCTCCTCTTCTTGCACCCTTGCTCGTGAATAAAGTTCCTGCAAATAAAACTTATAATCTGATGGAATTGTATGAAGCACCTTCTAGTAACTTTCTCAAGTGCAAAACGTACTACATAAAAATTACTGCTTTACTTTATTACCATGGTGTCTTGGTCCTGGATGTGATTGAGTGCATCATTGCTTTTGAAATTTCTTTGGGCAAGTTGTGTTTCAAATTTGTGGCTAAATGCAAGCATCAACAAATATATTATAATACAATTTGAACATAACAAATTGTAAGTTTCAACATAGCTCAAGCAAAATACTAAGCATGCCCAAAACAATAAGCAACTTATCAAAGACCAAAATTTTCTATTAAAAAACACCACAATCCCTTTCCTTAAGGTGATCCCCTTATCCTCCAAATTATTTGTAAATATAATCTCTTCTTGATAATTATCTAATTCTATTGTTAAGAAATTGGCATTGAATATGCAAGACATTTGATGAATCTTGGTAGGTCATAAGTAACCATACTCGGGAGACCAAAGGTCAGAATTTTACTGAATTCATAGTAGATTGGAATGGAAATGAGTGCAATCATTCTTTTTAAACCTTTACAAAATGTAAAAATAGAGTCTGAGAAAGAACATTAAGGGAACAATTTCAGAATATAATGATAATCTTACACAAGGGAAATATGCAAGAATGGTGGAATTTTTATCAAAATCAAATGATAAGCATCAAGGTATTACCTTCCTAGAATCTCAGAGCCTTCACCTGGAATCCCGTCATGTTTAAGCACATGCGCAGAATTTTCAGCAGACGACATAGAATGGCCTGCACAAGGTCCTCTTTAAAATAACCTGTAATTGAATGATAGATGATTCTCTCCATTATTACCAATAAATTACTTCATGTTGTCTCATTTGATTCCCTTGTTCAGATCCAAATCAAGGTTTCTGTATGATCTGATTCTTACCAGGGAATGCTTCAAGAGGAAACATAAACAGATAACAAGGAGTTAACAATTCAATCAATGCCCAAAAGATAACTTATTAGACACATTACATCCTCGTAAATACGTGCACATTTGTTTCAATTTATTTGAGGTATAATAGTATCTATATTTGTTTTCCCCAAAGCACTCAGAAACCACCAAAAAAAACAAAAAGATATTCTCTCTCCGTTCCATTTTGTTTGACATTTAAGGTTTACATTTTGTTTGACTTAAAGTTTTGAGAGTAGTTATTTTCCCACTATAAGCCAATCCAAACCCACACCAAGTTAGCGCACCGAATTAGACATAATGACACCTTTGTTTCAGATGTCCAAGATATCTCCAGCCAAGATCCGAAGACTAATTCCTCAAGTTACGGAGATCCATTTAATGAGCTAACCTTTCCAAACATCTTATTCTACCAGCATGCATTAAAGCGGTACATACAAAAACACAGCAACTTACTGCACAAAGATCATTCGATATCAAAAGTAGCATGCATTCAAACTGCAACACTTACACCACACAATCATCATGACCACATGAACTTGTAGAACCATCCAATTAGCAGCACCAGCACTACAAACCAAACTCCCAAATCCTCAAAATTAATCCATTTCACCACATCACTCACAACCCAAAATTCTCGCTCAATCAACATAATATTATTTATGAGCATCGTAAACTCCGTATATTCCCAAACATCGAGAACTCGGTTAATGTTCATTTTCTCCATACACAAAATAACATAACACAATGTAAAAACAATGAAAAGACAAAAACGCTACAACAACAGGGAACACCGGAGCATCAAAAAACACACAATCTAAACCAAATCAAAGTGAGCAATTCAAAAATGAAATCAAAAGAAAAAAAAAAGTGTAATCAGAGGCAGGAACTCACCGACAGCGAGTGCAACGTAGGCAACCACCAAAGAAAACGAGATTAGAAGAAAAACATAGAGAGGGGGAAAGGTAGCGAGAAGTTATGAGACGTTGGCAGAGAGAGAAAGAGCGATGAAATGAGAGATTGTGATGCACGGGTCAAAGGGAAATTGAGAAAATCGCATAAATGAGACTTTCCGAGAGAAAGCAAAAAATGCAGTTATGCAGGAAGCGACATTGAAAGTAACAATTTGGTTGATGAAAAGAAAATGGAAAAAGAGAGAACAGAGACGACGAGTTCTAGGATGGGACAACGCGTCATAAATCCTACGGTGGTAAAGAATATCACACCGTTAGATATACTTAACTTTAAACCGATGGTTAATGGTAGGGATGGGATTCGGGTTTGGTACGGGTTTCATGATAGTCGTCTTTATTCTTGTGAGTCAAATTTATTTCTGTTCCCGTACCTGTGCTCGTCGGATATATAATTTTCATCCTCATTTCTGTCTTCACGGGTATCGGGTATACTCGTACCGTATCCGTATCCGTACCCATCAATTTTTTTTTTTTTTTTTTTATAAAAAATGATATTTTTAAATTATTTTTTTAATTATATTATAATTATAATTAAGTTATTTCTCTATCTCACATTATAATAAATAATCACATATAAAAAAATATTAAAATTTTTTAATATAATTAAATTAAAAGTGGGTATTAAATTAAAAATAGGAACGTGGTACAGGTACGGGTACGGGGCAGGTAAGTACATACTTGTACCCGATTTAATATATCGGGTTTTACCCGTATTCGTACTCGTACTTGGTCAAACCAGGTATTTCCTGTCAAAGTCAGGACAGGTTCGGATATTATTCGCGAGTACAAATATATTTACCATCCCTAATCCATGGAAGGTTAGTTTGGTTCTGACTAGGGATGCGATGGAATTTTGTAGAAGGTACTCGAAAATTTTATAAATAGTGACAAATATTTATGAGTTTTTGTGAACTTTTAAAAAAAATTTATAAATAAATTAAAATTTGTGTTTGATGTTGACTTTATTAAAATATTAAAAATAAAAATATAAAATAAATATTTAAAATATCTGTAATAAATATTATAATATTTGTCATGTTATATGTATTTATATTTATACTAATATATAAAGAAAATATTCATTTTAATAATTACTTTGGTCTTTCTTTTCGGTAACTACTTTGATCTCATATTTTATTGACTATTATATCCTTTTATTTTAAAAAAATAAAAAATAAAAAAATTTTATCAAAATCAAAACTTTAAAATTAATAACTAATCATAACATTAAATTAATATATATTTACTATTTATTTTTCTTTTATTTTTGATAGAGACATAAAGTGTCTCGACCCTCTAGTTTATTATAAAAAGAATTTGTTTTAATAATCATTTTTTAATTTTTATTTTTGTATTAGACACTATTACATTTAAATTTAATTTTTAAAAAAATAATTTTAAAAATAAATATATAGAGTATAAAATGTATCTTTTTTTACTAGTATTTATAAATTTATAAATAATAATAATAATAATAATTGTAAATGAATAAAAAAATGGTATTATTGAGGGTAAATCCAGGAAGTAGAGAAAAAAAAAAACAAAAAAAAAAAGGAAAAATGTAATCTAATGGTGAAACCAAAACTTAAGTTGCGGTCCGTAGAAACGTTCCTTGCGGTTCCAATTTCCATGTTCTGTTCTTGACGGGTTCTAGGGTGGGGGAGCTTCGAATGTACCCCACCGTGGGAAACCAACACTTTACCATTGGATAAAGTAAAAATGTATTGAACGGCTGTGATACAATATGAGTAACCTATGATATGGTTTACAAAATCAGTGAGCTATTAAAAAAAATCATATGTATGTTTTTAGTTTTGATTTCACGTCGCGATTTTCTGGTTGAATTTTTTGGTCGTTCATTTTGAAATCTTTAACTTTTCAGATATTAATTGACACTAATTTAAATTTCTTAATCAAAATGTCTAAAGTTTAAATTTTGATATTAAATATGAAATATATTATATTAAAAGAGAAATATTTACTTTGTTTGCTCACGGTCCCAAGTGGAGATTAGTCATTATGATAGATAAATTTTTTATTTTGTTGAGTAAGTTGTAAAAAAGTTCAAAATTTAAAATATTTTCTTTTAGTTTTTTCAATTAGTTTAATTGATTTTATAAAAATAAATTAAGATATACCAATTCTATCATTTTTTTACTTATTATTAAATGGTCATTAGAGTCCTAGAAGGCCAAGTTTAAGCCTATGGCCAGGTTTGAGTCCAAGACCGAGTTTAAGTCTAAAACAATATTTAAGGCCAAGTCTGAGTCCAAGAATGAGTTCGAGTCTAAAATAATGTTAAGGTCGAGTTTGAGTTTATAACCAAGTTTGAATTTAAGGTCAAGTTCCAGTTTAAAGCAATGTTTAAGGTCAAGTTTGAGCCTAAGACCAAGTTCAAATCTAAAACAGATTAAAAGAACAAGTTTGAGTCTAAGGCCGACTTTGAGTTTGCAACGAATTAAAAAGACCACATTTGAGCCTAAAATTGAGTTTGAATACAAAGTAATTTAGGATTCTAATTTCTGAATTTTACAAAATAGATAAGTATGAATTATATTAATCTCTTTTTAAAGATACCAAGTTTTATTTCAAAGATTATTACCTTTAAAGTGATAAAGATTCTTTTAAAAGATTGAATCCTGGGATTATTTAATCTCTAAATGAATGGAAATAAAGCTTATAATGAAGCTTGAAAGTCGACAAATTATGTTAGCATAATAATAAAGAGTATTTTAGTCTCAATAAGCCCATATATTTAAATTCAAAATAGTGCGTACATCAAATGACATAAGAAGCAAAAGAAGGTACATATTCAACAAAAAAGTCTCATCCTTATAACTAAGTTTCAGACAACCTCATCATCTTTAACCTCATTTTCCTTTGAAGAAGATTCTTCTTCATTCATTGATTCCCCATTTCCTACATCTTTATCAATATTGAATTGAGAAAGTTCAAGATTAGGGAAGAATAGCTTGAACTAGCAGATTGCTTTGTTAAACCCATTCTCATGTTCGATGACCATTTGATATTGAACATCAACCAACTCCTTACTTAACTTATTTTCAACAATTTTGGCTTGTTGTGATTCATCCTTCAAACCAACATTAACTACCTTGGCTTTATTAAGTTCATCTACTAGATTAACAATATCCTTCACATTGACAATAATAATCCTTTGACAATCATTGGTTTGACTCTCAACATGTTTAAGTTTACCTTTAACAACCCCAATCTTCTTTGTAGCTTCCTCCCTTATAATTTCTTGAAAAGTAAGAAAATTTACATCAAACTTTACTCATAAAGCATAAAATTTATTTACCATATTGACCAATGTCCTACCCGATCAAATAAATTGTGGAATTTGTAGTACTAGGAAGCGACTCCTAGGTCGTCTCTCAAGGAGCAACAAGTCAATCCAAAGTTCGTGTAATACAACCAACTAAACACAACCGGGGGGTTTCAGATTTAAATAAAACAATGAAACAGTGATTCAATAAAACAGTACATTCTCCAACTCAGTCTCAACACCCATTTTATTGGTTCAAAATATTATCTCTTATTGATCTAAACCTTGGTTCATTTTCTAATAATCACTAAGCGTCATTACCATTATCAAATGCATACAAATGAAGCATTAGCATACATTTCTATCTCTATTCATGGGATTAAGCAAACCATGAGCAGAGCCATTCAATCCAATTGAACAAGAAACCATTAAGCATGGAGACAACAAGGATTGGAACATGAAGATGCATTGAAATGAACAGACCTCAATGGTGTGTTTATACTAAGTAGGATAACGTTACAGATTAGCCTTCCATGAAGGAAGAAATAAAAGAAGAGAATGAAAGAAGAAGACAAAAATGAAGGAAAAAGAAGAAGAAGAAAAGCTACAGAAAATAAGCTACAACCAAGTCTATATGCAATACAAAAAATGGTGTTCTTTTGTATCTCATTTTTTTGAACCAAAAGGGGGTGGCGACTGTGTATCTCCTGTCGCCTCCAAGTCTGACCTAAAATGATGCCTAGTGTGCATCTTGTCCCCCTATGAGTTTGAGTGCATCTGGGTCAAGAGAGTGGGCTAGCCTAGTTGGCCCATCCAGCAACAAAACAAGATTACAAATAAAATTAAATTTTTGCTGAAATTGGTCCACGTGGCAGCCCATGTGGCAGTGCTCCCAGTCCAATAAGTGCTTCCAAATTCTCTGCAAAATAAATATGAAATTAATTAGGTTAATAAATCCAATTAACTGAAATTCCAAATTAATAGCCTAATAAACCTCAAGAAAATAAAATATGGCAAAAGAAAACAATTAAGCACTGACAATACTTAATAAGGGGTTACAAAGGTAAGAAAATGCACGAAAATTATGATTTATCACATATCATCAATCTTAGCAGAATATGCTTCATTAGTCTTGGTAGCAATATCTAGAGAATAAATACTTTCGATCAATTTCTAACGAATCTCGTATAGCTTGACCATCGTTGCCATCATTTATTTATTCTCAATCTCCAATCTCTTCTCCTTCCCTCTACTTTCACCATATTTATTTTTCCAATAAGTCAATATTATTAAAAGGTTGTAAAAATATCTAAACAACAATTGAAATGTTGATGCTTAAAGGAGTAAGTACATCTAATTCAAAGTTAGTGATATCATCTATTGGGATCTCTTCATTGGTAGTATTGATGTTATCCCTGTCTTTGACAATAAAATTATTAGTGGGTTGGTTGATAATCACATCAGTAGGTTGGTTGGTTCACAAGCTCCCAAATCTTGAATAAAAGAATGATCATAGGGACTTTATTGAGATTAGAAATGATTAATTAATGTATACTTGTCCATGTCCCAAACCATCATTATGTACACGTATATAAATATTTATAAAAATTATGACTATGTGTCAAAGGGTTTTAATGAGGGGGTGTAAGAATGAAGTTACATTGAGGAGATGAAAGGACATGTTTTACAATTATCTCTTGGTAAAAGCATTATGATAATATTGTTCATTAGATTTGAAACATTTCAACATGTGGCATTTTGATCTGTTGGAGTTGTTTTTTTCTAAGACAAGAATTGTGTCATTTTGGGAAAAGATGTCTCTTCCATTTTGTGGAGAAAAGATAAATACTAGAAGGGGGTCGAATAGTGTGTATAAAAAACTCGCACTTTTCTATAGTGAAGTAGTAATACTAGTCAAACGAAGTGTGAAGAAAAGT